ATAAAGGTATTTTGTCTTGTGGTGCTAAAGATCAAACCCAATGCCTCACACATGTAAGGCAAGCACTCTGCCACTGAGCCACAACCCCAGGCTCTATATTTAGCTTCTTGATTAGAGAAAATATTTTTGTGCCCAACTATCTTTTAAGAATTAACATTTTGGTGGCTGGGGTTATGGCTCGGTGGTAGAACACTCGCCTACCATGTGTGAGGCACTGGGTTTGATCCTCAGCACCACATAAATATAAATAAAGGTATTGAGTCCATCTACAGCTAATACTATAAAAATATTTGAATTTTTAATAACCATATAGAATCCTAAGAATTATATAACCAGAAGGCATCGAGAAATAGACACTAATTTTTTTGAAGGGTATATTAATACTTTTCTGGATGTCAGTTTGGCAAAAGCCATTTTTTAAAAATATTTATTTTTTAGTTGTACACAATACCTTTATTTTGTTTATTTTTATGAGGTGCTGAGGATAGAACCCAGGGCCTCGCACGTGCTAGACAAGCACTCTACCACTGAGCCACAATCCCAGCCCCTGCAAAACTAGTTTTAAAAATAAAAATTTTCTTTATTGAAATTGACCAAAAAGAGACCAACAGATGGTTTATGGTTATCTATTCTGAATGTCAAAAGATAAAGACATGATTTGACTAGGATATAGTCTAGTCAGTTTACGTATAAATACAGATAAACAGGTTGGTCTCAGGCCTAAGAAATGTCAAGAGAAAAATGTTAAAAATGAGGAAATCACTATCAAAGAAATAAACATTACATTTGGTAGTACAACTATGAGTAATTTTTTAGGCTGCTTGTTTTTTAAAAATTTTTTTTAGTTGTAGATGGACATAATACCTTTATTAATTTACTCTTATGTGGTACTGAGGATCAAACCTAGTGCCTGGGGGTCCAGGTGAACTGAAGAGAGATATTGAAGTGTGGGGACAACAAGGATGCTAAACTTTGCTCAGTAGTAAAAATTAGCACAGAGAGGAACAGCTCTGAAAATCTGCAGACAGATTCCCCCCAGGTTTCTGATGAGTATTGATCTGTGCAAGTGGGGAACATTCTCTGAGGCTGAAGAAATACAACAAATAGCATTAAGTTCACATAGGGCTGGGAACAGTTACTGTTCCCACCTGACAACAGAGGGTCAAATGCTCAGAAAGAAAAGCCTCAGTGGTGGGACCAAATTATCCCTTAGACTGAAGGCTGTTCTGGGCCCACTGCTCACGCTGCCCTCTGTCCCATCCTGCCCCCCCCCCCCCAAAAAAAAACTTACCATAGACAGGGTGGCTTTAACAGAAAATCATCCCCCTCGCAGTTCTGGAGGCTAGAAGTCTATGATCAAGGCACAATCCGATTCCTGGTAAGGTTCTCTGGCTCACAGCTGGCCAGCTTCTCACTGTGTGTCCACATGAAGAGTGAGCAAAAGCTCTCTGGGTTGTTTTTTGTTTGTTTGTTTATTTGTTTTTGGTACTGGGGATTGAATCTAGAGTAATTTACCCTAAGTAATTTACCACATCCCCAGAGACAGGATCTCACTAAGTTGCTAAGGGCTTTGCTAAGTTGGTAAAGCAATCCTCCTGCCTCAGCCTCTTGAGTCACTGGGATCATAGGCGAGCACCACTGCACCCAGTTTGCTCTCCTTTCTTAAAAGGTTACTAATTCCCCCATGAGGAAGCCACCTTTGTGATCTTATTGAACCCTAATTACTGCCAAAGGTCTCCTTTCCAAATACCATCATATTTAGGAAGTTAGGGCTTCAACATATGAATTTTGGGGAACACGATTTGGTACAGAGCTGAGGCCCTAACAAAGTTAAAAGTAGGTCAGGCATGGTGACACATACCTGTAGTCTCAGAAGCTGGAAGGGTGAGGCAGGAGGATCCCTTGAGTCCAGGATTGGAGACTAGCTTGGCCAACATAGTAAGGATCCCTCACCCCCCAAAAAAGTTTAAAAGACTCAAAAATCACCAAATTGAGTCAAAGGAACTTCTATGTAAAACAATTACAACTTCACAATGTCTGGCATCCAGTAAAAAACTTCAGATCAATTAATTTGAAGGCAACAATAGAAAATATCCAAAATGAAGCACACAATGAAAGAAGAGAGACAAAAAAGAGGGAAAAAAATAAAGAAAAGAGACCCAGTGACCTGTAAGAAGATTACAAGCACTCTAAAATAGGTACAATAGTAATCCTGAGAAGTCGGAAGGAAAGAAAAATAGTTAAGAACAAAATTTTCCAGATTTAATGAAAATTATAAATGCACATACAAGAAGCTAAATGATACATGCAGCTCAATGAATCCCAAACAAAACAAATAAAATAATACCAAGGGACACCAAAATCAAATTGTAGAAAACAAGAAAAAATCTTGAAAATAACATTCACAGAAGATAAATAAGACTACATAATTGTCAGAAACTATGCAGACAATAAAATAACATCTCTAAAGTACTGAAGGGCAAGTGGGGGAGGCTCCTATCAACCTAAAGTTTTACATCCAGCAATATTATATTTAAAAAATAACAACAAAGGCTTCTTCAGATGAACAAAAGCTAAGAATATCCACTCCCAACACATTTGTCTTACAGAACATGTTGATTTTCCAGCAGAAAGAAAATTATACTGGGGGCAAATCTGGACACAAAGGACTGAAAAGCATCAAAAATAAATGTGGGTAAATATTTTTTAGGTATAATATTTTTAGTTAGGCATGGTGGTGCATGCCTGTAGTCCCAGCTACATGGGAGACTGAAGCAAGTTTGAGGACAACAATACCCTGCCTCAAAATAAAACAAATTTTAAAAGGGCTGGGGATGTATCTTGGTGTTAGATTACCTCTGGGTTCAATCCCCAGCACTGCAAGAATAAAATAAAAATGTTTTGAGCCAAAACTAACGTATTAATTAAGAGGTTTATATCATGAGATATAAATGCCACAACAATAGCTCAAAGAATGGAAGTAATGTGTATTTATTGTTCTAAGGCACTTAACATTATATATGAACTGGTATATTATTTAGGGTCAAATGTATAAATTAAAAATAATGGGGCTGGGGATGTGGCTCAAGTGGTAGCACGCTCGCCTGGCATGCACGGGGCGCTGGGTTCGATCCTCAGCACCACATAAAAATAAAGATGTTGTGTCCACTGAAAACTAAAAAAAAAATTTTAAAACTCTCTCTCTCTCTCTCTTTAAAAAAAATAATAATGTATGCTGAAAATCCTAAGCCATTCACTAAAAACATAGAAGAGGTATAGCTAATAAATACCAAAGATAGAGTGGAACTATAAAAAATAATTAGGAACAAGGCAAGGATATCCCCTCTGTCACCACTGCTTCAACATCCTGTCACAAGTCCCAACAAGACAAGAAAATAGAAAGCATATAGACCAGGAAGGAATAAAATAGTCTTTGTTCACAAACAACAGGATCACCTACATAGACAATCTAAAAGAATAAAAATCCTGTCTGGGTCTAATAAACAATTACAGCTCAGTTGTAGGATACAAGGTTAATGAGAAGAAGTCAATCACAGTAACAAATAGGGCAATTCATGAGGAACACATAGCAATCCTAAATGTGCATGCAGCTAAGAGGGACTTGCAATCCCCAATGCAAAAGCTGGCCAAACTCAAAGGTAAAACAAATCCACAATTGTATTTAAATATCTTGATGCTCTTCCCTCAGTAACTCATGAAAAGATTTGACATACAGTTATGAAAAAATTCTCAGAAACCAGGAACAAGCAATAGGAGAGAATTTCTTCAACTCAATGGAGAATCTATTTTTTTTAAACTACAATTTACATCATAAATTTACAATTTACATCATAGTTAATGATGAAAGACTAAATACTTTTCCCCTTCAGGTAGGAACAAGGCACGAATTTCCACTATCATCAGTTCTATTCATATACATAAGAGAGGCTGGCTTAAGGAGAAAAAGGAAGAAACAAACCCATCCTTCCTCCCAGATGACATGATAATCTGTGAAGAAAATCCCCACTCTGCAAAATATCTACTAAAATGATTTGAACAATCAAAATGAGTTTAACAAGTAACTTGATTTAAAAAAAAAAAATCACAGAATACAAGGTCAATATACTAAAAAGATGCAATTGATTTTCTACATGTTAGCAATGATTAATTTGAAAATACCACTCATGCTTGCATAAAAAATACAAAAAATTGCTGGGCACTGTGGTATATGCCTATAATCCCAGCATCTTGGGAGGCTGAGGCAGGGGGATCACAAGTTCAAAGCCAGCCTCAGCAAAAGCAAGGCACTAAGCAATTCAATGAGACCCTGTCTCTAAATAAAAATACAAAATAGAGCTTGGGGATGTGGCTCAGTGGTCGAGTGTCCCCGAGTTCAATCCCACCAAAAATATTAAAGATAAGTTTAATAAAATATATGCAAGCCTTGTGCACTGCATACTATAAAATTTGCTGAGAGAATTTAAAGACCTAAATAAATTATGGGATACACCATACTTTTAAATCAGTTGTAAAGATGTCACTTTCCCCCAAATTTGTCTCTAGTGTAATTCTAACAGGACTATTTTTGGTAAAAAATGACAAGCCGATTTATATCAAATTAAAAGTATACGGAAATACAGAGTAGTCAAAGCAATTCTGAAGAAGAATAAAGTTGTAGGACTCAAACATATTCTTTCAGGATATCATAAGCCTACAGTAATCGATACAGTACAGTACTGGCAAAAAGATATGTGGCTATGTGGACCAGAACAAAGTTCCAAAACATATATATATATATATGGTCAACTGCAGAAAACAGTAGAAACCAGAATTAATAAAACTATTACTCTTTTCTCACTGCCACCTCTCACTTCTTACTAAATTAATAGAACCATAGGAAACAGTGAAAATTAAAATAAGTGAATGACTTCAATACTTAAAAGGTCAGCTTCTTCATCACATTTTCCATGTATTCCTGTCTCCAAACTCAGATATCTCACCTGGTTTAATTTTTCAGTGTGATTCAGCCTTGAAGTCTCCACTGCATTGAACGTGGAAGTCTTGTCCATGTTCAGTATTTGCTTTGGTGGTTCCATGTTTGACGTGTGTTGTGAAAAGCGTGGCTTTGCCACCACGCAGCCTGTAGAATATGACCCATGTTGTTTCATTCTAAATGGCTGGGTAAAAATTTTTCCTTTTGTGAATAACAGAAGAAAAAAAATTGTCACTAGCAATTTCTGGTGTGTATATATTTAAAAATTACTGTGAGTTAACTGCCCTCAGCTTAAAGCAAAAATAAGGAAAGCCTACATTTTTATAGTAAGCCAATAAAACTTACATACAATGTACATAATTAGTAATCAATAGGAAAAAAAACCGGAAATCATAAAGACATTACCTAAAAGGTTGGGACAAAAACCACTTAAGATCACCTGAATATAATAGAGAAGCAGGATTTGATAGAGAAAAACCTAAAAAGCTGTATCTTGTTAGACCAAAAAAATCTCCAATTAAGGAATGTGCTTAGAACTATGATTCAAACTGGGCAGCCATAGTATGGGAAGAGGAGAGGAAAAGCCATAGAAGAAAGAATAGCACTCTAGAGCATAAGCTTTTTCTTCAATATTTATGGGAAGGAGGAATACCACCAGGGAAGTATATTCTGCTATACAATATGAAAGATATATCACTGGAAATCACCATAGCCTAGCTCTTTCTTGACCCCAAGATCAACTTCAAATAAACCAATTACTTCCAAGATATCCTGAAAGGAAAAATGGACCATAGATGGAGAACGTGACAATCCAATCACAGGAAAGGCTATCCATCCCCACTATGCAGTAAATTGGTAAACTGCTTTATCCAGTGTAACCTCGTCTCCTATGTTTATACACCTCAATCTAATTTCCCTAAGTCTGAACGCCTCAAGAACACTAAGGTTGAGGGCTAGACCTGAAACACTCAGTAGCCTTCAGAACTTTCTCTGACCACAGCACATCCTCATATATTCAAACTATATTATCCACCACCATTTAAATGCTGCTTCATAAACTCATGACATTCTCAGTTTCACCCACACTAATTTAAATGCAAACTTTAGGAGGGGGACACTGGGACAGGCATAGAATTCTCCAAAACAGGTTGCCCCTCCACTCAGTGGATACATTCCACACTGTCCAGGTTTAGGGAGATATTATATGAATAATCATGTTAGTCTTGAGCCTTCAGCTAAAACTTATTACAAGCTTACTAAATGCCAGGCTCTTTACAGACATGTAAGGTCTTCAGCACAACTCCAAGTGGCAAGTATTATTATTTCTATTTTAAGGATGAGGAAACTAGAGTTTAGACAGAGTAAGTAACTTGCCCGGCACTCAGTTTGCAAGTGGCAGGGCGGGATTTCACTCATGGAGCTTAGCAATTACCCATCTGTGTATGGAAGGATTGCTCCAACATTTGCTCATCCACAATACAATTATGTATGCTAACATGCTTACCTGCCGGCCATCCTCTCTGCTTTTCCACAGATATGCTTTTCTTTAGCTTCAACAAAGAACCCGCTCTAGTCTGCTCTACAGAAATGACATCTGAAGCTGCATTCAGCACTTCGAACATCGAGAGGAATCCATATTGCACATACTGAAACGATCGTCCAAATCGCTTGGCAAATGCCTTTTCAAAATCAGAAAGGAGAACAGGAGACAACGCCAAGAGGTCTTTTAGCTCACTCTTCACAACAGCTGGAAGAATAGGGGTCACCCTTCCTCGGTAAGGCACTCGACCAGAGCTTGTCCCAGAGCAAACAGTAGCCCTTCCCTTTGGCATGGAGCTTCGAACCTTATGGCTGCTCCTCTGCTTTGCAACTAAACTTGCAATTCCTTTGGTAGATTCATCTGGAATGGCTAGGGAAATGTGGGAAAAAGAAATCATGGTGTAGATTAAAAAAAAAACCTAAAGTATGCCCTTTATCCTTTTTTTTGGCTTATGTAAACAACTCTGAGGGCTCCAAGCAGCTGTTTATCCAGGTAGCACAATAAACAGGAAAGAAGCCTGTGGTTCTTCCATTTCTTGCATTCTGGGGAACAGCTTGTTAGTTCCTCTATTGGAGGACGAAATGAAAACCCAATCTATCATCATTACTGCTGATTGACCCCTGGAAGATTTGAAAATCTTGGAATGAAGAGCAAAGTTCTTTATAATGATGCTTTGTGTACCTCATGGAAGTTAAAATAAGTTTTTGTAATTAGAAGTTCGCATGTTATGTTTCTCCTAACTTCAGGTGCAACAACTTTAACTCATGCAAAACTGTGGTTTTTGTGAAAGCACCATTTTCCTAGGGACAGTTTCTTAATTCTGATCAAGTTCTGACTTTGTCTCAAAGGCACCTGTGATTCCTCCCCGTTATTCCACCCGAAATTCAGATTCAATGCCTGGGACGCTGGATAACTGCAGATGTAGAGCAATTGTATACTAAGTGGTTATTTCTAATTACAAAGTTTACAAATTTCCAAAAATCTTAAACCTACCTTTCAGTATTACTGTACCATCCCCGCAGGGACAGACACTAACCACATCAGGCATGTCCAGCACTAGCTCCATAGTGGACCGATACCCAAGGATTCGGAGCGGTAAGTGGTTGCCAACCATCAAAAGGTACTCTTTTTCCAACTGCTGTGGAGTCAAACCATCTTTGGTGGAAATAAGAAGTGACCTTATTTCTTTCCTGAGACATTCTTGTATACGTTCTTGTTCCGACATTGTACCCTATAGAATTTAAGACAGAAAACTGCTTATGAGGAAAAACAGGCAAACCCATGAAAATTTTATCATCATCATCATCATCATCATCGACTAGTAGTGGGATACAAACTACCGAGATGCGAGTTGAGGGTGTTCTGGGCTCGTGCATCGCAAACTCTCTACACCCAATTCAAACCCTGAAAACTCAAGCTGTGTTGAACAACCTACGTGGGAATCAAGGCGCCACCGCCAGGGGCCAGTGCGAGAAGTCGCAGCCCGGCTCCGTCGTGGTTTGCCGAAGCGCTAACTCGGGCTCCGGGGGGTGTCGTCCTCCGCTGCACACCTCGTACCAGACGGACTCTGAACTGTTGGAACCGGGGCCGGGGACTGGGCACGCGCAGTTCGGTCCTCGACGCGCCAAAGACCACACCTGGAGACGTGCGCACGACACACTCCGTCCCTCCGGAGCCAACTGCGGGAAAGCTCCCGCTTCCTCTTACCTCAAGCCAACGACCTATCTCCGCCCGCCTCCTCCCTCTCCGCCCGGGCGGCGGCGGCGGGTCCCTTCCCTGCCCCAACGTCCCTCACTGCCGCTAGCGGGACTACGGAGTCGACTTTCCACCTGCCCGACGGCTTCCCGCGACGCGGAGCGGCAGATGGTGCCCCACTGTGGCCGGCGCTGCCGTTGCGGCTGCGGGAGTCGAAGGCGCTCGCCGGCGGACCGCGGGGGAACCGCGCCTGCGCGACGCGGAAGGGGCGGCCGGGCGCGCCCCGTTCCAGCCCGAGGGCGCGCGGCGAGTGAGACGGTTGGGCGGGACGGCCCCCGCTGGACGGCCACTCGGGGCCGGGCCTGGGGCCCATCCCGGATGCGGGGCTGCTGAGCCCGACTCCGAGGCGGCCTGGGTGGCCTTGAGGGATCGCCCGCGCCTACCTCCTCCGCCGCGGTTCGAAGACACGAAGCGGGGCTGCGGCGCGTGGGCCTCCCTAAGCACGTCCCGTGCGGGGCGGAGCAGCCCCGAGGCCAGGCGGGGAGAGGCCGCGTGATTCTTAACCCGGGGGTCCGCCTCAGGCGCACCTGTAGAGTTATTAGTGGAAAGAGGGATGCCCAGGGCTGAGCTGCAGAGATTCCTCTGCAGTAGGCCCAGGTTTAATTGGGGTGGGGGTGGGGGTGTCACAGACAGTTCTTGTTCTTGGCTAAGAATTTCTGCGGAGCTCGAAGAAGCGACTTTAGATCCTTGGAGAGAGGAATGAGTGAACACTCCAGGTGCCACTGGAGATTAGAATGGAGAGACTGAAGAAAAGAATATATTTGGACGGTTTGTTGTATCTGCAAAATAAGCCAAGAGTTATAAGATCCATGAAGACTAGAACACAGTTTATAGAGAGGCATCAAGACTTTTCCTTAAAATGTACAAAGAAACAAGTTAAACCCATGAGACCTGAACACACACGTTCTGCCTAACCCCAAGACATACACAGTTTTTAAAGCCCACGATGCCTAAATATTCAGTCAACGAACCAGGAATATTGAGGATCCCTGAAAGACAGGAAATAAACAAGATTTATAACTGGTTTATAGCAGAATTACAGGATAATTAGCAAATTAAGAAAAAGGGAAAAATTATAAGATTTTGAAGATGGGCCCAGACTTTGCAACATTTGAATGACCTAAGTTACACAAACAAGAACAGAATGGGGATGCTATTATGTATAATTACAATGCACCAATTTAAAAATGTGGGGGAAAGAATGGTAGTGAGCATTGTGGAGTTAAAAAGGAGATGTCCCAGATTTGAACAGAAACACATCTTCAGATTTTAAGGGCCAACTCAGTCCTTACAATACCTACTTTTCAAAGATCCCATTTTAGACTAAGCCTAGGAGAAAGACAATCAACAGATTTTTTTTTTTTTTTTTTTACATAGAAATAGGTTACCTAGAAAGCAATGGAAAATAAATTGCCATTGGATTTCTCAAGGGAGAAGTGCCTTCAAAGCTAAACCTGGAACCCTTAACCCAGTCAAATCAGCATTAAAGTGGGGGGAAAAGTAGAACCATTTTCAGTCATCCAAGTTTCAGAAAATTTATCTCACTGAATGACTTGAGAATGACTATTAATAAATGAACAATGAATTGAAAAAAAGATATCCCAGATTTTTATCCCCAATTACCTGAGATAAAAGGTAAGAGATATAGATATATTTTTTATGTATTATATAAGTTTCTTCCCAATAATTGAGAAAGGTGTAATTGTGATCCCCATGTTAAATATACATACATGAATAGGGATATAAGAACAGACAATAGACAATAAAAACATCAGACAATAGAAACAAAAATTTTGAATCAAAAAGTTATTATTATGTTAACAAAAAATAACTGCCTTAAGGAAATTTTTAAAAATGGCTTATTCTAAGCCAAATATGAGAGATCATCACAAGGGAACACAAATTCAAGTTACCAGAACAACATGTTTTCTCTGTAGAATAAGTTAAATGAGCTTTTGTACTCACAAGAGAAAGTAGTTGGGGTCATCAACTTTAAAGAGGTAGGGAAACCTATAGGATTCAGATGTTTAACAAGGCTAGCAAATCTTTTACAGAATTCAGATGTATCACATTCTTAGCTTTAGGATCAGTGGAGGCTTGAACTCCACCAAACTTAATATACTTATACTCCAAGCATTTTACCTAGAAATTAAAAGAAACTAAAGATAGCCCAACATAAGGACAGCTCTTGATCCATCTTTCTATAATTACATATTTTATTTTTTAAAGAGTGAGAGAATTTTTTTTAATATTTTTTAGTTTTCGGCGGACACAACATCTTTGTTTGTATGTGGTGCTGAGGATCGAACCTGGGCCGCACGCATGCCAGGCAAGCGCGCTACTGCTTGAGCCACATCCCCAGCCCTATAATTACATACTTTAACCAACACTGAACAGTCTGCAGTCTCTTGAATATAGAGATGTGGCTTCTTTGGAGAACTTTAGTTCACAGGTCATAATATTTTTAAAAGAGACAGATTTTTAAAAAGATATGATGGAACTAAATCCCAGATCAACAATTGCAAACTAAGTACCAGGAGCTGTTTGAAGTTGCTTCATTAAGAAGAAGCATGCCCCATTTGAAAAGTGGCTAGAATTGGAACCACAGCTTGACTGAGTTTACAGTGAAGTAAGTGGGTGGCAATGAGGTAGGAACCATCATAGTAACATCTTTCCTCTGGTGGTGGCACTTGCTTATACAGTTCTCTAGGGATGTGGCATTGCTTTTGATGTATGGTTCTGGCACCCCAGTTAATACTTCCTTTCAGAACAGCCCTTACTCTGCAAGTGTGCCAATGTAGGAATTCAGCCAGTTGCTACATTTATTTATTCCAGCTATTGGCTTGGCAGCCAGGGTCCAGTACCACAGGATGAATTTATACCCTCACTACCCAATCCCTATAAACTAGCCCCTACAAGCTCAAAATCTTGATGGCAAAATGTGACATTTTAGGTCCCATAAATTAGCATTCCTTAGAATTAGCAAGTGGTGGTCACTAAAAAGTTTGGGTATTTTCTTTTCTCTTGAATAGCTATCCATAAGGGACTGCAAGGCCTTTGAGGAAAGTTTGCTGTCTTAGGTACAGCATTTTGCCCACACCCTTTTTCAAGACTATCTGGGCTGTGTCCAAAAAAGCTATGGGTTTGGTGTCTGATTTAGTACCAGTAATGAAGTGAAAGGCGCTCTCTCCAGCTTATGGGAGGCCTCTGTTCCCTAGATCTAGAATTGTTTTGTTGGCTTTTTTGTTTTTTCTGTCATACAAATCAAAATGACTTCTTGGGTTGTTTATTCCTTGGGTGTTTACAATTAACTAACTACAAACAACCAGAGGGCTCTGTGGATCAGACCAATGTGTCCCCCTGCCTTCCGTCTATTACAACAACCAGAGGCCACTTTTCCTCCAGTAATTAGCTGCCTGCACCTGGTCTCCTCCCAGCCCTGCTTGCAACTAGGAGTATATTTCACTTGCAGCTGCTCCCACCAGCATTCTTGCCTAAGAAAAGTCAGGACCTTTTTGTGTTTCTGTGTCCATTAAGGCTTCTGGAGTTTTGATAAGCTCCTTTATGACAAGGATGAGAGGATCTTTTGAAGAACATGGTGAAGGAGTGGTCAGAGACGCACATAACAAGTCAGTCCAGCATTCCTGCCTCCCAAGTTTTTCAACATTGTGCCCAATATGGGGCCATTTGATGTCCTTATTCAAGTCCCTTTTCACAGCAGTTACTCCATGCCTTTGCCACCACTCTTGTCCCACTGCTGTCCCACCACTAGAAAATGGCTGTGCTCCCACAGAGGCTCTCATAATGACTCCCCCCCAACTCCAGTCCAGGCCTATAAATTAGTCCCTTCCCATCCTTCCTTTTGGTCTCAGTGGGTGAGGGAGTCATCCATCCTATTTTTGATCCCATCCCCCAACACCTCTAGACCACAAACCTTGTCCTTTGGTCATTATTACACAATCGTGGATGTTCAACATCCCTTTACAGTCCTGCAACATAAAATTATGCTCTGATTCTTTTTATCTTATACACAGACATGCAGAGAGGGAGAGGGAAGGAGGAGAGGGAGGGAGGGGGAGGGAGAGGGAGAGAGGGAGAGAGGGAGAGGGAGAGAGAGAGAGAGACAGAGAGAGAAACACTTCCTTGACCTATATCCCCTCTTTCTCTTCTCCCTGGCCAAATCCTTGAAAAGCAGTCCAAACTCAGTTTTTTCCACTTTTCCCTCCATTACCACTTAATACAAAGCAATGAATCTGCTACTTAGGGCATCTTTCTGAAGTTTTACCAAAATCAACGACAAATCTTCTCACTGGCCAATCACATGGACTTTTCAATCTTTGATTTCTGCTGTTCACTCTTGCGAACATCTCTCCTCTGGTGGTTTCTATGATGATGCCATATGGACTTTGCTCCCAGCTTTCTATCCTGTTTCCTACTTCTGCTGCTCCATTAAATGCACATGTACATTTA